TCAAATCCTCATTTTATCGTCATTTCCTCATCAAATCCTCATCAAATTCTCATTTTATCCTCATTTTATCCTCGTTTTATCCTCGTTTTATCCTCATTTCCTCATCAAATCCTCATTTTATCCTCATTTTATCCTCATTTCCTCATCAAATCCACATCAAATCCTCATTTTATCCTCATTTTATCCTCATTTTATCCTCGTTTTATCTTCATTTCCTCATCAAATCCTCATTTTATCCTCATTTTATCCTCGTTTTATCCTCGTTTTATCCTCATTTCCTCATCAAATCCTCATCAAATCCTCATTTTATCCTCGTTTTATCCTCGTTTTATCCTCATTTCCTCATCAAATCCTCATTTTATCCTCATTTCCTCATCAAATCCTCATTTTATCCTCATCAAATCTTCATTTCCTCATTTTATCATCGTTTTATCCTCATTTCCTCATCAAATCCTCATTTTATCCTCGTTTTATCCTCGTTTTATCCTCATTTCCTCATCAAATCCTCATTTTATCCTCATTTTATCCTCATTTTATCATCGTTTTATCCTCATTTCCTCATCAAATCCTCATCAAATCCTCATTTTATCCTCATTTTATCATCGTTTTATCCTCGTTTTATCCTCATTTCCTCATCAAATTCTCATTTTATCCTCATTTTATCCTCGTTTTATCCTCATTTCCTCATCAAATCCTCATCAAATCCTCATTTTATTCTCATTTTATCTTCATTTCCTCATCAAATCCTCATTTTATCCTCATCAAATCCTCATTTCCTCATTTTATCCTCATCAAATCCTCATTTTATCTTCATTTCCTCATCAAATCCTCATTTTATCATCATTTTATCCTCATTTCCTCACCAAATCCTACATAAATACATACATAGGTTCATGAAACAGGATGCAAAATAAATGAGGTTAGATAATGAGGATTAAATGAGGTTCATGAAACAGGATGCAAATTAAATGAGGATAGATAATGAGGATTAAATGAGGATAAAATGCAAATTTCAATGATTTTGGTCTTCCCAGTGTGTGGCTCACAAAATCTCATAAAATTACTCATATATATTTTTTTTTTATAATATAAACATTTACTAAATTATTTTTATAATTATTATTATAATTATTATAAAAAATATTATAATTACATATTTTTTTATTATCGAAAAAAACAAATATAATCTATTATATTCGGATATATTTTAAATATAATAACGATATTATTTATTCTATAATGACTGGACCTCAATTGCCAGGCTGTGTACCGCTGGACCTCAACTGCCGGCTTCCGAGCCCAGTGGGCACCTGGACCTCAACCTGGGACCTTCCGAGCTCAGTGGGCACCGCTGGACCTCAACCTGGGACCTTCCGAGCTCAGTGGGCACCGCTGGACCTCAACCTGGGACCTTCCGAGCTCAGTGGGCACCGCTGGACCTCAACGGCCAGATAGAATGCCAGAAGATATGCCAGATAGAACACCAAATAGAATGTCAGATAGAATGCCAGAAGATATGCCAGATAAAATACAACGCAAGCCCACGGACAGGGCACCCTTGCGACACAGCAACCGACGAGCCGCCCAGTCACCACAAGCTGCACGGGAGACAAGGTCGCGTCTCCACTGCTGTGGGTTGTACATTTTTGTTTTAGCTCTGCTTCCCATGACCTGTGGCTTTGCGGCCACTATCCTCCAAAATCGCAGTGAGCGGCTTCCTTGCCTTGCTTCGAGCCAGTGGGAAGCGAGGCTTGAGATAATGTTGACAAGAATTGTTCTTCTCTATAGCTGGTACTATTTTTGATAATCATCCATTTTCTATCTATGTATTTCATTTTTGAAATAATGGAATCGATCGTCAGAAATCATTCTTGATGATTTCCGTCAAGTTTTCATCCTTCGATCAGCGATTGCGATTTCTTGATTTCATCAAGAAATCACCAATTTGATACGGACCCTCATGTCTGCTCTCATGAACACTTAATCATCCCAGGATCGAACATATATCATCATATTCCAATTTTACTAAATTTACAACATCTGGAAAATTATGTATATATATACACACAACAATGGAGCAAGAGTAATTACCGGGGTAATGTGGGTCGTGAAAAAAGCCGAGATGTCAATCCCTTGGGGCAACTCTTTGTACAACTCCTCACTCTCAACCTCGGCGCATGCAAGGTGGAGGGCCACAAGAACAACCAATAAATGGAAGTTTCCTAAAATGGTGGTACCGGCAATCATCCATTTTGATAGGGGTTTTATGGATTTTCCATTATTATAATCAATTTTTTTTAGTAATGTGAATATACGGGGACCCTCTCTAGTCGGATACGCTCAGGGTGAAACGACTCGAAATAGACATGGCTCTCCAGCGATGACAAAAAGAAGAAACTTGGACGGTGGCAGCAAAGCCAAAAACCACCGCCAAGGGAAAAACTGCTGCATGAATGAAAGCAGAACAGTGAAACAAATGAAAAAGAACAGAAAGACTGTTGTTAAAAGAAAACCCGGCCCGATGAAGATGGGTTGACCTGGTCATGTCTCCAATTGATGAAGCGGGGAGATCGCTCTGGCGATTTTTGGGTGCCCCCATTCTCGGAACCCCCCAAATACCAATAACCAGAGTGTGGGAATGATGACATTTGATGGGGACACGAAATGAGGATGCACAGTCACGGAGTCGAAAAACTATGACTATCTCAACATATCTCAACAAATGAAGCATCGACAGCTGAGCCTTCTGCTCTCCGGGTGTGTGACTGCGAACTCATGGTTCGTACTGGCATCAGATCCCTTGCGAGGCGTGGGAAGTTGAGGCAGTTTTTTTAAACATGTTTTTCGGCCGGGGCCGGGGTAGGGGGAAAAAACCATCTGTATACGACGACATGTATAAAACCAAAATTTGCAATGTCTTTTTGTGGCCTTGACATTTGGCAATCGCTGCTTGCCAGAACTTTGTTTTTCTAAGTTTGAGTCATGTGCCTCTCAATGGCAGGCCCTTCGTTCGTTCTCAAGATCGCTAAACACCCCACCCGGTGCATACACCACGATCAATTGAGCGCCTTCACGCTGACATTCCACTTCACAACCATTGCTGTGATGTCGTCACCTTACTTATGACCCCAGGCTGCCACAGCCTTCTGAAATTCTGGGCGAAAGCTTCTCATGCCAGCTTCATCCATATTCATTTGAGCGGTGTTCAAAACTTCAATTAAAACTGAATGGAAATTATTCATCCTTGCGCGAAATCCTTGCGCCATCCTTGCGCGACCACAATGGGAGCTTGCGCGCGGTCAATTTTGCAAACTGAGCTTGCGCGACCTTACGCGAAGATGAATTCCTGAGATTTGGTGCATTTTTGCTTGCGCGATGCAGGCACGAAGCTGATTTCGGACTTGGGTTTCTTGGCTTCTCAGATTCTCGGCTCGCTCGGTTGTTTCTCAGCTTCTCGA